GGAATTCCGAATGCCGTAAGGCGCTTGCAGAAAGGAAGTCTGCTTTTGCCAAAATCAAGAAGCATCCCACAGAGCAAAATGTGAATCTATACAAAGAAAAATTAAAAAAGTCAAGATTAATATTCTATAAAGAACGTAAGAAGAGTTTTAGATCCTTCTGTAACTCTATTAACAATCAGATGGACCCTGCAAAAATGTGGAACGTTATTAAGTCATTCAAATCTAGATCCCTGGGTTCTCAATCTTCTAGTCATGAGGATTTTAACCCAGCAGCTTTGAATTTCGTGGACAAAATAGCTCCTCCATCTATCCTAATTCCTCCTTCTCCATCCATTATAGCGGGTCCTACATTAGAAATTTTCTCGAGCATACGCCTGGAAGAATTAACTTCGGCCATTAATAAAATTAAAGTTAAATCTGCAGCCGGTCCCGATCTTATTAGTAATCGTATGATCAAACAGCTTCCCGTGGAAGCCCTCGAGAAACTCTGTGAATTGTTTGATGGATTTTTTAAATGCGGTCGTATTCCATCAATCTGGAAAAAGTTCAATGTCATTCTCCTACCTAAACCGAACAGTGATAGTTTCAGGCCGATTGCACTTTCTTCTTGCCTCCTTAAAGTCTTTGAAAGGATATTATTAACAAAAATGGAATGGTGGATTGAAAATTGTTCACTAATTCCCAAAATTCAGTTTGGTTTTAGAAAGGGCAGATCCTGTATGGATAACTTGGCCATCCTTAGCTCGGACATTTACCTTTCCTTTGCTAGAGGGGAAACTCTGGGAGCTGTTTTCCTGGACCTGGCGGGAGCATATGATAATGTGCTTCCCCACATCTTAGTCCGTGAGCTGAATGACATAGGCCTTCCGTCCAATATTGTATCTTGTATTTCGTCCATTCTTAATTCTCGCAGTGTAGACTTCTACAAGTATTAAAAGCAAAAAAGCAAAAATCGGCCTCCTCACGAGACGCTACTGCTACTCTTATTGACGCCAAGTTCGCGCTTTTTCGTCTGCTACGATGAAATAACTTGAATTATCTGCGGGTATATGTCGTGGGCGAAAAATGTGTCAGGTCCAATATTTTTTATTTTTTTTTTTCTTTACAATGAGCCTTTGCCCAATAAAATCGGTTCCCCCAATGCTGATATCTGGGCATATATAACTTCAGTCCTCAATTCAGCACTGGAGCCAGTACTATCATGGCTTAATAGCATTGGCCTTTCCATTTCGCCCAGGAAATCGCAATTCACTCTATTCTCAAGGAAAAGAGAGAACTGGTATAACTTCTCAGTTCTTATTGATGACCACCCGATTCAATGGGTTCCTGTCATTAAATTTCTGGGAGTGTGGTTTGATTATAAATTAAACTGGAATCAACACATAAAGAAAATCTCGGAGAAAGCTCGTTCATCTTTACGGGTTTTAAGGTCTATCTCTCGTATTAACTGGGGTGCCCACCCCAATAACATGCTGATTATTTATAAAGCCTTAACGAGATCGATCCTTGACTGGGGCTCAATGTGCTATGGGGCAGCTAGGGCAAATAGCCGTATTGTCCTTGACCGCATTCAGTACGCGGCCTTGCGATCTGCTCTGGGACTTATGATCTCGACTCCCACCAATGCAATTTTAGCTATAGCAGGAGAACCCCCGCTTTATTTCAGGAGAATCTTCCTTGCTTCTAGGTATATTTTAAGATCTTTCTCAATTATCCATCACCCTATTCATGCGAAACTTAAACTACTAGAAAATGCTGTTAATAGCAATCAGTCATGTGGGTACTCACCGTATATTCTGTCAAGATGGTTGTCTCTTAGAAGATATCAGGACAGAGTTATTAGACACCCTCGTCCAATCTGTTTCTCCATTCCTTTGGCAGCGCATTTTCATCACATCGATGTGGACCTTGAGTTTGGCTTTTCTATGAGAGGAACGGAGAATCCTAATAACGGTCTTGGAACCTTTCTTCTGAAGGAATTCCGGAACTGGGTTTATATATACACAGATGGCTCTCGGTCGTCCACCCCTGAGAGATGTGGGGCTACAATCTACGTAGCTAACTCTAGACTAATTAGGAAATTCAGATATTGCAACAAGGCTTCTATTTTCTTTGCAGAGGCATCGGCTCTTCTTGCAGCCCTGCAATTAATCAAAACAAAAAACATAATAAAGTCGGTTATCCTGTCTGACTCACGTAGCGCTTTACAGTGCCTAGCTGATAATTCTATGAACTCAAAGATTCACCCTATCATCGCTCATTGTAAGGAAATGTATCTGGACTTACGATCCATCGGACTTCAAATTCAGTTTATCTGGATCCCATCCCATCAGGGAATCCATGGTA